TCAGCCCTCTCGTTTTTTCTTGATTTGGGTTATTTCCCGGGCACCACCTCCAACCCAAAGTCTCCATCCAGGGGTTACGGACTTCTTCTTAAGTATGAAGACTATGCGCCCTTTTTTCAACGTGCGCGGTTCACCTTTGCCAGCCTGTGGCATGATGTGTTGTTCAAGTAATGACCCTTCACGTACAATTACCCTGCAGGTAGCACCGCAGTCTTTGATGGCCGCATGCAGTGCTATTGCTGGCCAGGAGTCAATCTGAGTAGCACACAAGAGCAGCGGTTTTATAAGTCTGCAGAGGGTGCATCTGCTGCGTTTTATTGGTAAACTGGTCGTGATGAATGATTGATTCTGAACTGTGTGCATAGGAGGCAGGGTAATGGTATCGTTCCCTCCAGGCTGCCAGGCTACCCCGATGCGCACCTAGATGGGTCCTGGGGTTTCCCGCCCTTCTCCAATAGCCCTCGCTCCTGCACTCCAGGAGAGTGCAATCAGCCATCCCAGCCCACCCAGCCCACCTAACACACACACACACACACACCTCCAGCGGCTGGTTCATGAAGTAGCCGTACAGCGCCCGCAGCACGGCTTGGTGCGACACAATCACCACGCACTCCTTCTCGCGCTCCACCTCTGCGGGGGTGCCAGGTGGCGGCGGGCGGAGGCAGCAGCGCGGCGCAGGTGCGTGGGCGGGTGAGGAGGAGGAAGCCAGAAGTGGGCGGCGGGCGTGTCACCAAAGCAAAGCAGCAAGCGCAACCCGGGTGGCGGAGACGCGGCAGGCAACCAGCAGCTGGGCTCCGCAGCAGGGCTAGGCGGCGCCAGCCCAGCCCAGCACCAGGTGCCTGCCCACACCCACCTGTTACCACCGGCTCCAGGCGCTGGATGACATCCATGTAGGACTCGCCGCTGGGATACCTGCAGTACAGTACAGCACATTCTCGTACGGTACAGTACCGCCGGCAAACGTCCAGAGCTTACTACCTGTTGCTGCTGACCCCAAAAATCGAGCCGCCAGCCACCAGCGCTGCACTGCCTGCTGCCTGCGTGCCCGGCCAGCCCCCAGCGCAGGCGCGGCCGTGCCGCACCTGTACCGCAGCTTGTCCTTGCGCCTCAGCCCAAACTCGTGCGGCATGTCCTGGGCCACCTCCTCATACGTCATGCCGTCGCACATCCCAGCCTGCGCGGGCAGCGGCGGCAGGGGGTGGCACGGGGCGGAAGGCGTGTGCGTGGGTGTGGTTGTGCAGGTACGGGTTGCAGCGGCGGCAGGGGGTGTGACGGGGAGGCAGGCGTGTGTGCGTGGGTGTGGTTGTGCAGGTGCGGGTTGCAGCGGCGGCGGCAGGTGTGTGTGTGTGTGCGTGTGTGTGCGTGTGTGCGCGCGCGCGTGCTTGTGTGCGCCCCCACCCCGCCCCCACCGCTCACCTGGATCTCGTCCAGCGCCTTCCACTGCACCTTGGGGTAGGGCAGCCCCGAGGCGGTGATGATGGTGCGCTGCAGCGTGGAGGTCCACACTGCGGGCAGGCCGGGGGGGCGGGCAGGCCGGGGGGCAGGGATGAGATGGGAGGGCGGCGGGCAGGGAGGGCAGGAGAGGGTCCGCCGGGCTGTGCGATTGAGGCCGGCTCCGCAGCGGGGAGGCCAAGGGGCAGGAGCAGGCTGGCAGGCTGGCAGGCTGGCAGGCTGCCGAGGAAAGGAGCGCCCACCTGCCACCGGGTACTGCTTGCCGTCTGCCGCGCGCGGTATGCGGCTGTTCAGGATCTCGGGCAGCAGCTGAGCGTACATCTGCCCGCGCTGGCTGCGCAGCAGCGGCAGGGGCAGGCGCAGGGGAGCAGGCACGGGTGCAAGTGAGGCATGGCGCCCGGCGCCAGCACTCCGCTGGCCTCCCTCCCACCCCGCCCCAGCAGCCGCCAGCTGGCCACCGTTGCACGCCCCCAGCCAAGCCCCTCTGGCCACCCTGCCGCTGCGCCCAGGCCACCGTGGACGCATCGCACGCCCGCCTGGCGGCGCACCTGAGCGGCGAGTTGCCCCCAATCTTGCCCTGGGTGTTGAACTGGGACTCGCCGTGGCGCGTGAGCCAGATCTTGCGGGGGCGCCCCACCCCCGCGCGG